GGGGGGGGAAGGCAAATTAAAGCAAAAAAAACAAAAACAAAAACAAAAAAAACCTTTAAGTTCCAATTCAGAGAATGAAGAAAAAGGAACTGATGTGATTACTACAAAAGACAGGAAAAAAAAAAACCAACCATCTCCTACTTTATTTGGGTTGTATCAATCAATAAAAACAGTCTTCTGGGGGAGCCTGGGTGGCTCAGTTGGTTAAGCGTCCCACTTGATTTCAGCTCAGGTCATGATCTCATTGTTCCTGGGATCGAGCCCCACGTCAGGCTCTGTGCTGACCAGTGCGGAACCTGCTTGGGATTCTCTCTCCCTCTCTGCCCCTCCCCTCTACTGTATAAATAAATAAAACAAAAAAATAATAGTCTTCTGGTCTTAAAAATGTTTTTAGCTTCTGACCTTAGACTTCAGCTTTGGAACCTTACTAAATAATAATAAATTCTGAAAAAGTCTCTATAATATAAAGAAGCTCACCAGAGTAAAATTTAGGATAGTGAAAAGTGAATAACCCAAAAGGTCAACTGGGAAGTAACTACAGAGGATTCACTCAATAAAATGTTATTCGACCATTACAGTGTTGGTTTTTTTTAAACAAAAACTATAGAGTTAAAAACACTCTTAAGATACGCTTAAAGAAAAAGCAAAATATAAAAAACACATGTGACATGATTATAGCTACTGCATGGTGGGAGGAAAAGTAAATGTACTAAGAAGTTAGTAATTGTATTTGGGTGATAAGATTCCAGTTTTCCTTTTCCTTTTTCTGTATCTTCCAAAGTGCCTTTAATGAGCACAAATTCTTTTATAATGAAAAGGATATTTCTTCAAGCAACTCTATTAGACGAAATATTCAAGAGATCTTAAGCCCCAGCTATATGAGCACATGGGAAGTGGAACTACAGCTGCATCAAAACAGTTCAAGCTTGCAGAACCACACAAATTTAACCTGGGAATTCAGAGAATTTGAAGCAGGGCTGTAGAGCTCAGAATGAAATCAGCGTATAATAATAGCACACTTGCATACCAAATCTGTTAAAAAATGATCCTCAGCAAACGGTCAGTCTTCGGTGCGCACAGGGGTAATGAGCCCCACGCCGTAAAACATTGAGTCAGTAATTCAGGTAAGAGACTAGAAAGCATATTAATTGAATTCACAGATTACACAAAATTGGCAACAGTCAATAAATACGGAGATGACTATAATGATTCAAAAAGATATTCAAAAAGATAATAATTCAAAAAAGATTAAATTTAATAGAAAGATACAAAAATCTGCTCTTAGGTTCAAACTCACCTGCCAAGTACTGAATGCGAAGAGGATGGCTAGGCTACTTTTCAGTTCAGTGTGAGTCAGGAGTATAAATAGTGTGAGTGCCTATTAATAATGCTCATATCAGGAAAAATGATTGTTTCAATGACTTCCACACTATCAAAACCACAGCCATAACGTTCAGACTGGGAAAGGAAATAGAAATCACCCACCACATAGGAGATACAAACTATAGTTGGGGGGGGGGGGGATAAAAAACTGCTCCATTTAGGAAAAAAAAAAGAAGAAAATATGAGGATTTGATAGCTATCTTCAAACAGCTGGGAAAAAGTCATCTGGGAGAGGCATTCACCTTAACCCTTGTGGTGCTGAGAGCAGAAACAATAGGTGGGAATCAGGAAACACCACACTGCAGCTCAACATGAGGATAAATTTTTCTAACAAACTATAGCTGTCTAAAAATGGAATATTTTGTGTGAGCAAAAGCTGACCATAAGTCAGGGATAACAAAGCACAAGAACCTGCTTTCAGAGATTAAGCCTATGATGGTTTTTAAACTGACTTCTAGTAAGTTTCTGTTTCTTACCTGTACTCACAAGGAATCAGTATCACCTATGGGGAGAGAAAAGAGACTGCATACTTCAGAGGGAGACTCATGGTCTAAAGAGAAGCACATGTTTTCACCTAGTAAACCTGAAACCCACTGATAGCCTTATTTCAGTTTAAAACACCCACTTATTAAATACACTCCCCAATTCTACTTCTAGGAACTTGGTTTACGGAAGTTCCTAGTTTGGTTTATAGAAGTTCCATATACTGTGCACACAGATCTGAAAATGTTCACTGCGGCTGCAAAAAATATTTTAAAAAATAACTTAAATGTCATTTTGTAAAGGACTCTTTAAATAATGGTACCTCCAGAAACTGGAACAATTTTTCAGACTTTCAGAGGTATGATGAATATCTACATTCAATGACAGTATAAATGCACACGTGTGTAAATCTGTATTGGTGAAAATACACTCAGCCCAAATATTTAAAAATAGTATCTCTGGATAGTTGGATTTCAGGGGGCAATTTGCTTCTTTCTGCTTTCCTTCAAGTGTTGAATTTTCTAAAAGTATTTTCATCTTTATAAACAGCATATGTTTTTTGAGGTTTTTTTTTAAAGATTTTTTTTAAGTTTATTTATTTATTTTGAGAGAGAGAGAGTATAAGCAGGGGAGAGCCAGAGAGGAGGAGAGAGAGAGAATCTCAAACAGGCTCTACACTGACAGCACAGGGCCCAATGCAGAGCTCAATCCCACAAACCATTCGTTGAGATCATGACCTGAGCTGAAATCAAGAGTCAGATGCTTAACTGACTGAGACACCCAGACACTCTGCAAACGTTTTGAACTTAAAAAACCTCTTTTGGGGCGCCTGGGTGGCTCAATGGGTTAAGCGTCCGACTTTGGCTCAGGTCATGATCTCGCGGTTTGTGGGTTCAAGCCCCACATCAGGCTCTGTGCTGTCCATCCAGAGCCTGGAGCCTGCTTTGGATTGTTTCCCTCTCTCTCTGCCCCTCCCCCACTCACACTCTGTCTCTCAAAAAATGAATAAACATTAAAAAAAATTTAAAAAAAAAAAAAACAACCTCTTTTGACCTATGGATATTTTCCCCCAATATTCTGAAGCGTCTCCTCAGAAAAGATTCACAGGATATTATTAGCTCAAAAAGTATGACCATTTATAAACACTTTATAGATTTCTTATTAAACCGTTATGATTACATAAATTACCAATGTTTGAAAAATGTTTATCAGATTATCCTAACACATATTCAGAGCTACAATATTTTCTAAAAGACATCTGGAAAAAAAATTTTTTTTATACTATAGTACTATTAAAAAGAAAGAGCTGTATCTATTAGTGCTAACAAGGAAAGATGTGTATAATACAAAGATAAATGAAAGAGCAAGGTGCAAAATTGTATGTATATGTTACCCCATTTTTGTTTTGAAAAACAAATGCCCCATACTTTATATGTTCATATAAGCACACAAAGAAATTTTGGTTATTCATCAGTTAACAATAGTAACATGTTACCCTGTGGGAATGGTGGCAAAGAAACTATTCACTTTACCATACAGACTTCTATGTTGCTTAAGTTGTTTTGTATATAACATGTTTTACTTGAACCAATTTTTGAAATTGCTAAATATTCTTTAAAATAAATTCACCAAAAATAAGGATTTTGTACTTTCAAATTACAAATATAATTTCTAGTATGGATTTCTAAAAGTCTGTCTTTAAGAGTTTTATATTTGTCTCTACGCTTAGCATCTGAACAATC